AGGGATAAATAATTCGTATAATCGATTTTAACCACATACATACCATAATCACTACTTGTCAAAATATCATAATTAAATGATAAAGAATAGGAAAATGGTTAAGTATCATACTTTGTTAGTCATGCGTTCATTGTCCCTATGGTTTTGATGATTCGTAATTTTTCGTATAATGCGAATCTCCTTATGTTTCCTGGTTCAAACCTTGTAAAAGAAAAATAAAAAAGAAAAGAAAGAAGAAACCATATAGTGACCTTTATACTATATGTATATTTTAAATAATTTTTCGTTATATATACATATATAACTGCATTTATATATATTAAAAATGCAAATTATTATTTCTTCCTTTCTTTTCTCATTTTTATAATATAATTCTTTTCGTTCTGTTTGTTTATAATTTGTTTTAGATTTTTCACAATTACAAATCGTAACGCGTGTTACATATTTAACACGTCTTTTTTTGGATCATCGTTAATATAAACGTTATCAATAAATTCATACTCATTTGCAAATAATAATGGTTGTGATTGATAAAAAATGGTAAGACATAGAATAAACAAGTCCAAGTTATTGATGTATATTCTTATTCATTGTTCTCATTTGAATTCGATAACACAGTTCTCAAGGATTCATACAATTTGTAATTATTATTATTATTATTATTATTATTATGTTTATCATGATTGAAGATTTATCATAAATGAATAATTAAATATATATAGTATTGTTTCAATAGGACAAATATATTATTATGACGATCGTATAAAAATATTCTTAGGTTACGAATTTGTTTTTTACGATGTTGTTTTTTTTTTTGTAATTTTACAAATTATTTTATAATTATAAATAAAATCAAATCTATAAGATTAAGAAAGTAGAAAACAAAATACAAATTCTATACGCAATATTATATTATAACTGTATTATAATATAATTTTGTTGTTTTCAATATTAAATACCATTAAATATTGTTACCACTTATTATTATTATTATTATTATTAATATTACAAGGATGGTATAATTTGTACAATATATTAATACCATTATAAACATTGGTACACCATTTAAACGGGAAAAAGAACGAAATAACAATAAAATACAAATAAAAACGAATTGTAATGAATTACAAAAAAACAAAAAAAAAAAGATGTAAAAATGTATTAGTCATTGGTAGTTAATCTGCATTCAAAATTCGTGCACCGAACCCAATCCTAGGTAATGAAACGTTAACAAGTCGGTCTCGCAAAAGGAATTCTTCGGAACGGAAAGAGAGTGCGGCTTTGATTGTTTGAAAAAACTTTGTATGATTCACAAATGAAAATTACGCATAGTGTCGGCGGGGTTATTGTGTGTTACATCCATGTGTTCTTATAACAATAATATTAGTAATGGTGGTAGTCAATTGAGTAAAATGTATGTTTCTTCCTCGATCCTCAAAGGAAGTTACAAAAAAAAATAATATTCATCGATGTATAGAACTCGCATCGAAGTGTTTCTATTTAATCCCCGATGTATCATTTATTTAACATTTTCCCTTTCCTATTGCACATTTGTCTTCATTTGTCCTTTGTCTATTAACAATTGTCATTTCCCGATTATTATAATACGTCCTTAATGTCAGAGAATTTACATTATCAATTCTAATTAGATGCATTTTAAATAAGACGTTTCGATCATTTCATTTATTGGTTATTTTCTTTCTTTCCTTTTTTTTTCTTTTTTTTTTTTTTTACTTTACACCTGGATCAAAAAATGTTTTTAGAAATAATTAATAAATATTTCTTTTTTTTTTTCGAAACCCGGTATACGTTTTTTTTTTTTTTTTTTATTTTTTTCTTGCTTCCCAAATCTATTCGATGAAAAAAAAAATTTCTTCACGCTTCGTTTGAATGTTCTTACATTACGGTGAATACGTATTGCGTATAAACATTATTCCGAGTATTAATTACAGATAAATTTTATTCGAAATAATTTATTGAATAAAAGAAATAAAGAGGCTCGTTGTTTTTTAGATATTAATATAATCTATATGTTAAAACACAGAAAAAAAGAAAAAAGACACACGTGGCAGTAAAAAGATAACGAAATGTTTCAACGTTTAACTCGAATTGTTTTATACTTCCTCGACACACATAATAATAATAATTTCGAAATATAAAGTATTATAAATATAAATAAAATATAAATAAATAATCGCGGAACATTATTCGTCGCGTTACCTTGTTGTTATTATTATTGTGTTGTTGTTGTTGTTGTTATTCTCTTGTAAAATATTCTTTAAAAAAGTGATGAAAATATTTTGGTAGAAAAAAAAAAAAGGAGAAGACGTAATAAAACCGTAACGTTCTTACGTCAATGAATAAAGAAATAACATATGGTAAATAATTGTAATAATAATAAAAAATATATTATATGCGTTTACTTAAATTGAATAAAATCAAAGCACGTAGAGAATAAGTCAGTAGTTAAACGAAGAAAACATAAGATCTCGTTCCAAAATATCATGATAATGCACTTGGATAATCAAATGTAAGAAAATTAAATCGTATTCTTTTACGTTCACGTATTCGTTCTCAATTCTATTCCAACCAAAATTATCATAAATATATATATATGTTTTTTATTTATTAAAAAGTATAGTACCGTTCTACGACGAACTAGACGAACTATTAATTATTCTTAACTGCTTGCAATTGCATAACTAAAAAAAAAATTATAGAAAAATAATATATAATATTATAAT